GGGAACGCCTGCGGCCGCTGACCGGGGCCCACATGCGGGACCCCTCGTGGGAGCCGCTGCTGGAGGCCTTCCGCCAGCGGCCGGCGTATCCGGTCTTCCGCCACACGACGCCCTTTGTCATCCCGGTGGACTCGGCCAAGGAGCGCGACCTGCCGGAGCACATCCCGGTGCCGGTGATGCACTGGCCCAAGGTGGAGGCCTGGCTGCAGGAGGTCCTGGCAGCCGGGGTCATCGAGCCGACCGTGGCCGACCCCCATGCGGCCTCGCTGATCATGGTGAGCACGGCCCGTGGCCAGGTCCAGCCATGCATGGACCTTCGTGCTTTGAATGCCGTGGTGCCGAGCCCGAATCGCATGTCGCTGGCCGTGGGCCATACGCCGCTGCAGCGGGCGGCCAGCGGCCGGATCTTCACCACCCTGCGGCTGGCCCATGGGGTCCACCATGTGCCGGTGGATGAGGCATCGCGGCAGTTGCTGGTCTTCCAATTCCAGGGCCGGTACTATCGGTACCGGCGCCTGCCGGCCGGCTTGACGCACTCGGCCTTCGTGCTGGCCACCGAGCTGGGCAAGATCCTCCAGCCTTGCGAGGGGTTCTGCTCCTTCTTCATGGAGGACATCGTGGTGTTTTCCGCCTCGGAGGCCGACCATGTCCAGCATGTGCACCAGGTCCTGTCCCGGCTGAATGCCCACCATGCGGAGCTGGCCCTCGGCCAGTGCCACTTCGGCCTGGCCCAGGTGGAGTACCTGGGCTTCGTCATGGGGCAGGGCAAGATCGACCTGACCGAGCAGCGGGTGCAGCAGGCCCGGGCATTGGTCTTCCCCGGGTGCCTGGCGGAGCTCCGGCGCTTCCTCGGCCATGCCTCCTTCCTGGTGGCCTGGCTGCCGGAGTATGCGCGCCTGGCCCAGCCGCTGTACCAGCTGCTCCGGGGGAATTCCACCGGCAAGCTCCGGGCCACGGCCCAAGCCACGCAGGCCTTCCGCGCGGTGAGGGACCTGATTGCCGACGCGTGTGCCATCCACGCGCCGGCCATCGACCAGCCGTACTACATCTATTCCGATGCGTCGGGCGATTGTGTCGGGGCCGTGCTGCTGCAGTATCGCCCGGTGCCGGGGACCGACCGGCTGGAGCGCTTCCCGATCGAATTCTTTTCCAAGGCCCTGCCGCCGGCGCACCGGGCCTACCCGGTGCACGAGAAGGAAATGCTCGGCATCATCATGGCCCTGGAGCACTGGGCGCCGCATGTGCAAAATGGCCTGCCCATCACCATCTTCACCGATAACATGGCCATCTCCACCTGGCGCCGGGAGCAGTACATTTGCCTGCGCAAGGCCCGGTGGATTGCCCGGCTGGAGGAGTTCCCCCTGGCCAAGATTGTCTTCGTCCCGGGCCAGGACAACCCGGCGGCCGACTATCTGTCGCGCATTCCCCGGTGGATTTGCTTCACCCGGCAGGTGGACGGGTCGCTGGCGGCCACGCTGGATGAGACAACTCGTGGCCGGCGCACCGGCGGCCAGATCGTCGGTGTGCCGCTGGGGGACCACCATTTCGCCGGGCCCGGGGATGCTGGTGCCGGGGAGACGGTCCTCCCGGCCACCGGGCTCGGCATGCCGGCCACCGTGCACTCGAACTTGACACCGGACGACCGGCTGTACATCCCGGGGCTCGGCAGTGCCGAGGTGTGTGCCTCGCCGCACGGGCCCCCCCTCGGCACGACCCACATGGATGTCGACCCGAGCTCCGAGGCCGCGCCCTGCCCCGGCCCGCGTGGCGGTGTCAATCACGGGCAGCAGTCGCAGCCGCAGTCGCAGTCGCAGCCGCAGTCGCCGTCGCCGCCGCAGTCGCAGTCGGAGCCGCAGTCGCAGTCGCAGGCGGCGTCGCAGTCGCAGCCGCAGTCGCAGTCGCAGCCGCAGTCGCAGTCGCAGCCGCAGCCGCAACAACAACAACAACAACAACAACAGCAGCAGCAGCAGCAGCAGCAGCAGCAGCAGCAGCAGCAGCAGCAGCAGCAGCAGCAGCAGCAGCAGCCGCAACAGCGGCCTGGCGGCGTCCCCCGGGTTTTCGCCTCGCCGGTCTCCCAAAAGCCCCCGCCTCCGGGATCATCCCGCTCAAAGAGCCCGCCGCTTGATGCCAAGAGCCCCGCCAGCCCGCCGAGCGGCAAACTGGATCTAAACACTCTCATCCGCCAGGCGCAGAGGGACATCCCGGATGCACAGCGCTCCCGCGGCCACATGGTCGATGGGTTCCTGCTGGAGGACGACCGACTTGTCATTCCGCCAGCCTGGACCGAGAGGCTGGTGCGCTTCCTGCACCACGATGCTCACATGGACCATCCCAGCATCGCGGTCATGCTACGCATCATGCGCGGGTTCTTCATCGTGGGGGGCTTTAAGCCGATCGTGCGCCAAGTCACCAGCGAGTGTGGCCATTGTGCCGCGCGCCAGGCCTCGCCCGGGGCCCGACAGGGCCCCACCCGGACGCCGGACAATCCGATGCATGCCCTGGCCATCGGGCTGCATCGGCTGTCCCGTGTGCCCGAGCCCTCGGGCCACGGGCAGAACCACCTGATCGTGTTCGACATCCTCTCGTTGTTCATCATCGCCGTGCCGGTGCCGGACGCTCCCACCCTCGGTGACATCCGCAAGGCCCTCATGAGCCATGTGTTCCACCGTTTCAAGCCGGCATCCATCAAGACCGCCGGCCAGGAGGTCTTCTCGTCCGGGCGCTTCACCGCCTTCCTGGCCGGGCGCAATGTGGTCCATGAGCTGGTCCCCGCGCAGCAGACCGGCTCAAACATCATCGTCACTCGGGCGGTTCCCATCATCCGCGATTGCATCAACCACCCGACCATCAACCGGCTGAACTTGGCCGACAAGGACCTGGTGCAGGAGGCCATTGGCTTCCACAACTCCCAGGTCGGGCGTCTTGGCTTCTCTCCCAAGGCCATTGTCTTCGGGGTGTGACGGGCCGAGGCGCATGGGTCTTCCCGTCGCTCCTTTTGTCCTCCCCTCCCCTCCTCCGGTAGATGGGTATTGGGCAGGCTGGAGTGTGGCGCGCCACCCCATCTAAAATGGATGCCTGTATAGATGTGTGAGATGGGCCCGTATACGGCTGCCGCTGCCACTCTTGCTGCCTCTCTCTCTCTCTCCTTTTTGCCACCAAGCCCCCGACAGCTAGATATGCCTCCCTCCCCAGCGCAACTGCCCCCCCCCCCCCCTGGCGATCCCCCAAATAGATATAACCACCGCGCTTTGGCGCTAGTGGATGCCCATTTAATCGACACTTTTTATTCCCCGCTCGCGTGCTGCCGCCGGGCGCGCCGGGATATGGATGGCAGCGCGCGCACACAGGAGGATGTATTTGAGACGGTCCCCCGGCCAGTTCCCCGGGTGCCTGGCTCGCTGCCGTTCTGCCGATCAATCGGGAGATCCGCCCGCCCCGGAGGGGCGAGCGCGACGCACTTCCATTGGCATGTGAGGAGGTGGATCACGCGAGTGGACCCGGGCCCTGCTGATGCTCGAACACTGTTCCGCCTGTTCCCACGGCCAAATACCATGCAGCCACAGGCACAAATGTCTGCAATTTGGGCGGCCATCGCCCCGCCTGGGCCGGTGTCCGAACGTGTGCGTGTGCGTCCGCGGCTGTGTCTCCTCCGTGTGCATGGGTGTGTGCGTCTGTCCGTCTGGTCGGTCTGTGCACCGTGGAAGGCCCGGCTCCTGGCGTCCTGGACCGGGAGAAGCCCGGCGCTCGGTCCGCGCCGCCGAGAGATGCTCACCAGAGTGCCCACTCACGGTCCCTGTGCTGGCGACCGATCCCGGGCAAAATACTAAAAAAACCCTGGCCGCATCCGGCGGCGCGGTTCGGGGCATGGTGGTCAGGCTTGGGGCCCCCTCTGTAGAAGAGGGGCCCGGCGCGCCGGGCCGGGCCCTGTGTGTGAACGGCTGTGCGGGGGCGGTGGCGGCGTGCGGGCGGGGCGGCAGGGCTCTGTGGCCGTTCGGCCCTGGCCGGTTCAGGCGCGGAAGGGCCTCCGTGTGGCGTGTCGGCGTGGCTGGGAGCTACTGGCGCGCGAAAATTGGCGGGGCCCGGGAACGCGCGGGCTGGGCTTCCCCCTCCCCCGGCCCGTGGTTCCGTCCCAGCCTCGCGGTGTGCGCCCGAGGGACACACACACAGACACGGAGGGCCACACAACGCACGCGACCCATTCTCCTCCCCGGCCGGAGCCGGCACCAGGCAGGAGCCTCTCCGCGCTCGAGGGCACAGAACAAGAAGCGCTGCCCTCCGGGGGGATAGCATATCCCCGGAAATCGCCTCAGTTTGGTCACTTTAGGTTGTCCATCTCCTCCCTCCTTCCTTGCCTCTCTTGCCGCTGTCCTCCTCGCCCTCGCCGCCAGCCTTCTGCTCCTCGCTCTTCTGCCAGCCTTCTCCGCCCCCCTCCCCTCTGTTTATGTTTTCCCTTCTTCCTGCCTCTCGCCAGCGGATCTCTTCGGCGCGTGTATGTGTGTGTATGCGCTCGTGCACGGAAGCGCACGCGCACGCGCACGTGCGCGTGCATGCTCGCGCTCACCCGCCCGGGCGCCACTGCTCCACGGCCCGCCAGATCCCGTCTTGCTTTGGTCGACTCCCTTGTTCTTGTTGGGCTCGTGCTGCCGCGTGGCTCCCCCTCCTCCTCTTCCTCCTCCCTCAAAGCCCCCTCCCCCTCCCGCCGCGACTGACCTCGCCGGTCCCCCCCCCACCGTCCTCCCCCCTCCCCGTTCTCCGGTTCAGCGCGCCCATCACGCATTGATACCAACCTGTCGTCATGCTGCCTAGCTTCTCCAAGCTGGCGCTCCGACCTGCGACCAACCCCCTGAGCTCCACTCAGAGGCTGGCCGCTGTGTCGTCCCTGTCTTCTCGGAACTTTGCGACCGCCTCCCCCAACAACAAGGGCCTGCGCCGGCCGGTCCCGCTCACCCTGGGCTCTGTGACCGAGCAGGCCCGGTCCCAGGTCTCGCACAAGAAGAATCCGCCTCAGGTGCGTGTCTCCAGCCATCTTCCTTCTCTCCCTCTCCCTTCCACGTCGCCATCTTTTTGGGCTAATCCTTTGATTGCCCCTCTTGCTCCTCCCTTGTATCTCTTATCACCCCCCCCCCCCCGGCATGACCGACCCACTCTAACCATATTCGCATCTCGGCTCACCTCCTCCATGCCCATCCCCCCTCGCAACACGCGCACACAGGGCAGGACGGTCGAGTTCAAGGGCATGCACGTCTTTGGCACTTCGCCGGCGCACCACCTGATCAACCTGAACACGCTCTTCCGGCTGAAGGCCCACCGCGGCCTTGAGCGCAGCACCTGGCACTTCAACAACCGCCCCTACGTGCTGGGTACCCGCAAGAACCGGACCATCTTCAACCTGGACTACACTCTGCTGAATCTGCGCCGCGCTCTGTCCTTCATCGAGGAGGTTTCCCGCCTCAATGGCCAGATCCTGGTTGTCTGCAACAACCTGCTGTACCGTGTGCGTGGGCCGCTGGTCGCGTCGTCCCTCCCCCCCCTCCCCCTTCCTCCTCTCTCCTCCCATTGATTGGCCTCTCCTCGCGCGCCTCTGACCGTTGCCCCGACACCGCCCCTTGCCCCGCTCTTGCCGAATCATCCCGCAGGAGCTCATCACCAAGAAGTGCCGCGAGGCCGGGCTCTATTACGTGGTCAACCGCTGGATTCCCGGTACCCTGACCAACCGGCAGATTATCCTGGAGAACCCCAACCACCTGCCGGATGCGGTGGTCGTCTTCGACCCCAACTCCCAGGAGGCTCTCTTCAATGAGTGCCGTCTGCTGAACATCCCGGTTGTTGGTGCGTTGTCGTCGTCGTGGCTGCTGTGGCTCCGGCGGTCCTTTTTGGTTTTTCTTTTGGCACCCCCCCTCCCCGCGGTGTCCTCCTTTTCTGCTTGACTGACCCCTGATGTGTGCCTCCTCCGTCCTGCCCTCTCCTTCCGCCCCCC